CTGCTCCTGCTCCTGCTGCTCCTGCTCCTGCTGCTGCTGCTCCTGCTGCTCCTGCTGCTCCTGCTGCTCCTGCTGCTCCTCCTCCTGCTGCTGCTGAACCGTTTCTTCAATAGTTTTGCGCGGTGGAAACACTGTTGAAGCCACTAGACTCTGGGCAGAAAACCCACAATCTCAGACCACCTGGACACGACATCTCCGCTTTCAAGGAGGTCCCCCGCATAGCAAACAGCATAGTAAGCCAGGACTGGGACTGACCCAGGCCTTAGGCCGTATGTTTGTTTCTCGTTCTATACTGTGTGTTTTACTTGCCGCGTTCTAAAAAAAAAGTGTTCCGGGGTCAATTGTTCAACATTCCGAAAATGGTCTGTTTTTTTCAGGGCGTCCGTTGCCCAAATGTTAAGCCATACAAACTTTGTTCAAGATCTCACAAGTCATAAGTTTTTGTTGCCATGAGTCTATAAATTGTGCTGGACACAACATGAGTGTCATGTTGCACAAGGTTGGCAAATCCCCGCCGCACAAAGAGAGTGAATAGATTAGTAGATTCCACCTGCCAGTGGGCTGGGCGCACACCCACAATTTAGACAAAAAATGTCTATTGCCGAGCTACTTGTCTTGCTTGTCTTCCAAACAGCCCACGTTATTCCATCTCCTGGCATGTGAGCTGCCCGAAAGGTTTTCAAGCGTGCAGATGCATAGGTTCCCGTTCTGGAAAAGATCTGCCACTGCTGCCTCAGCTTTACACATGCCACTTAAGCGCTGCTCTTGGAAACCACTCAGTTGTTTTACACAAGCGCACAATCCTCGGTTCATTATCTGCCCGTGAATATCAGCATCAAGTATCAAGTTACTACTAAACAAGTTCAGCGTACTTCTGGGTAAGTTGCGATTAAGCATGCTTTTGCAGCGTTTGAGAACAAACTCTTGTTTGAAGAACTGGGTGACTTCGTGTGTGTGTGTGTGTGTGCGTGTGTGTGTCCAACTCCGTCTCTAGGATTACATACTTCCTGGAACTGCTTTAGATGATGCACTTAGCAGGGGGGATTGCGATTCTTGAGGACCTAGGTAGAGCACAAGCTGTTCCACTCCGGTGTTTCCTGCATCGCGGTAAAGGTCTAGTGCATCGGCGAACCACTTTCTGAACTTGATGCTCATTCGTTTGAGCTATGGGTCTAAGTGTGGTTGTGTAAGCCTTGGAGTCATAGGGAGCCTTTTGGCTTCAGTCTTTTAGTAAGCAGGGGGTGCCAGGGCCACGACGCCAGTGTTGCACTTGTGAAGTCAATCCGGGACGCTTGATCGACGTACCTGCTTGTTCGTGATGTTGAGTACTGTAGTCACGTCACATCCGAAGATCTCAGGCTGGTGAGGTTTTGGAGTTCGCAGATGCCGTCGTCATTTGCATCTTTGCCTATTGAAACTTGGAGTTGCAACCCTGACACCTTCAGGAACCTGGGAGCTTTTTCTAACATGAAGTCGGTTGGACAACTTTGCACTACTTAGGCGTTCTTTCACACTGAGGTGTGTCCAGGTCTTGGAGTAATCAAATCGAAAGCACAATATCTCGCGTGTGTGTGTGTGTGTGCATGTGACTGTGCGTGTGTGTGAATTTGAAGTTCTTGTGCAGCTGAGTGCCTCTTGCCATGGTAGAACAGGTAGCGCTCATTCTCAATACAATGGAATATTGGCCTGCGGTAGTAGAACTCCGACTGTTGCACATAGTCACCATTGAGCTCTGTTCTTGAGCAGCCTGAAATTCGCAACCTGAACTTGCCTTTGGCACCAGCTGAGATGGCCTGCTCTTCAGCGAAGACCCACTTCACAAACTCCTCCAAGACTAAGACAGTTTGGCCACACAAATCCCTTTCCACTACAGTGAATTGCAGCAAATGCAGTTGTTGTTCACTTGAGAGGAGGGAGACACGAAAGGTAGGACAGCGGGAAGAGAAGAGAACGCGAGAGGCAGGAACAAAAATGCAATGTTCGACATGGTGATTTATCCCCTCGGAGGCGACCTTTCGTAAATATATGTTCATATGCACTCTAAATGTTCAAACATATGCTCTCGAAATGTTCAAAAAGATTCTTAGGAAAACAAACTTGCCCCATGGCTCAGATCATCGGTGAGCATTGAATCGGAACATCATAGGATTTGAACTATCCTGAAACCATAAGAGGCTCACGAAGACGCTCCCCAGGAGAGAATTGACGTGCCTTCACAAAACAAACTCTAGGTATGTATCCCCTCGGGGAACACCTTTCGTGATTAGAATTCAATATTCACTCTTTCTGAATGTTTAAGAGGGTTTCAACTATCCTGAAATCCTGAGAGGCTCACGAAGACGTTCTCCAGGAGAGAATTGATTTTAGAGGGGGGGAGGGGGGGGTCTGTATTGAAAAATCAATTCCAAGGGGGCGGGGGGTGAGGGGGGGGGGTCTGTATTGAAAAATCAATTCGAGGGGGGGGGGGATCAATTATTAGACCCGGACGTCCCAACACTTGCTTCGCAAGACAAACTCAAGGTATCCCCTAAAGGGCTACCTTTCGTGATGTTCTGCAGTGTTGCAACTGTTGACACAAAACGGAAATCACCAACTGAAGGTCATGATCAGAAGCCGCAAACGGTTGCTGCTCACACTCCTCAATTTGCAATTGACCATCACCACTGGCATCTGCCGCTGTCAGCAATTGGTCAATGGAGGCGTCATCCCACTGAGAGCTTTCCAGTGTCTTCAGCACCTGTTCTGGACTCGAAAGAAACACTTGTGAGTGTTTTGGCACACTTTGGGTCGGTCTATATAACACGCACCAACCCCACCGAAACCCAGCCTCGCCCAGCTCATCCCTTGAGATAGAGCCAGACCTGTCAGTGTCAAAGCGATTGAACGCATCCAGCACGGTCTTATCCGCCATTTTGGCAGCTTGAGCCCATGTCTTGCATCAAAAGCCGAGTATTGCCGACCATGGACACTCAGGGCGATAAACAATTCGACATTACCTGACAGATCTGGAAGCAAGTAGATCGAAAACAGGTCATTTTTGGTCGAATCAACAAATGACACAATTGTCACTTTAGCTGACAACTAACTGTGTCGATCTTGCTGCAAACACAAAGTAGATCTTTTGTCGCAAAGCGTACGGCTTCAGATTTACACAGAGTGGTCCACCTTGCCTCGCCCATGGGTCTTCCTTTCCCGGCCACACATGCATACAAGTAGTAATGCCAGAAGCTACTAGTAGCTTCTTGTTACTAGTAGCGATGGCCTCCACCTAGTAGCTTCTTGTTCCTAGTAGTAATGCCAGGAGCTGCCTGCTGCACAGAAAACTTCCGAGCAAGTGTTCGTTAGGTTGTTGAACTCTAGCTGCAAACTGTGGCCCACGACTCTCACCTGTGAACGCCGGTCCTATTTCTTTCGTTGCGAAACATCGGAAATCCAGCCGAATCTCCGAAAGCGGACACTATTACTTTCAGCAATGGTATCAAAGAGTGAAATCTGTGGCTGAAACATTTAAACGTCACTACATTCAGAAACCACACCACCTATCATGAGCTCATTGGTCCGGATGCTGTAGGAGGAACCGGTGGCAAAATGCCTGCTCCACAGATTCAGCGGAAGTCCACTACCAAATCCGTCCAAATCAAGCGCCACATTCTTGAAGTCAGTTGCATCTTCTGAAACCCAACCATCAGCTTTGAGCACCGCGTCAACTCCTCCACCGTATTTGCCTTGCTGAGCCCACACATACAGGGTGGTAGGAGCATCGTACTCGATGGTCCACGTGCCTGGTGAGGGCCAACAGTGGCTGCCAATGTAGGTACCACTGGCCAAGCAGGCAGGTATATTCTGGAAAGAATAGTCTTTGTCCGTGTAAATGAGGATGCCCTCTGCCATTCCTCTCGGCGGATTCCATCCAACGCCCAGACCTGAGCAACCTGTCACTTTTCCACTGCACTTCAATGGTGTGCCCACCACTCCGCCACACATGAGACCCGTAGTCTGAATCTTGTAGGAGGACCCTGTCGTGAAGTGCCTGCTCCACAAATTCAGGTCGAGTCCACCACCCGAAAAGCCCTCCGCAGCTTCCGCCACCCAACCGTTGCCACGCAGCGCCTCGTCGACTCCACCGTTGTACTCGCCCTTGGCGGCCCACACGTAGATCTTGGCTGGAGCTTGGTATTGAATGGTCCAAGTGCCAGCCATTGGCCAAAGGTGGCTGCCAATGTATGTCCCACCAAGAAGCGGGGCTGGCACATTCTGGAATTTGTAGCCTTTTTCTGGATACAACAGAAGTCCCTCTTCCAGGATCTGTGCAGGCCGCCAATCCACGCCCAACCCTGAGCAATCAGTCACTGCTGCACTTGATGTCGGAGGTCTGGCTGGCACGCATGGGGCACAGGGAGATGTGCCAATCACACCGCCGATCATGGTGTCCGCCGTGATCTCAATGCTGTAGGTGGATCCCGTGTCAAACTGCTTACTCCACAAATTCAAAGAAAGGGCACCACCGCAGAAGCCTTCGGCAGCTTCCGCTGTCCAACCGTCTGCGCTGAGCGCTTCATCTACTCCACCATTGAACTGTCCTTGAGCTGCCCACACGTACAGCTTGGCTGGAGCTTGATATTGAATGGTCCAGGTGCCCGCCTTCGGCCAGCAATTGCTACCAATATAGATGCCACCTAGAAGCCCGCCAGGAACATTCTGGAAAGTATAATCTTTTTTCTGGGTACAAGACCATACCCTCTTCCATAGAACGTGCAGGGTGCCAATCAACGCTCAATCCGGAGCAACCAGTCACTGGTTGTCCTCCATCTTCATCCTCAGGGGTTGGACAAACAGACTTCATCTACCTCAGCATCATTAGTCGCCACCAACAAGTGGAAAAATCAATACCGTTTCACCGCCTTTCACCTCTGGTCACCACCAATACCCGAAGCTGGTCTGGCCGCTCCTCATCCACATCCACCTCTTCAGAATCCTCCTGCTCCTCCTCGTCCTCTTCTACGATCTGATTGTGAAAGTCACCACGTCTCGATGGCATTTGACAAATCATCACCTTCAGCTGTCCCATGACATACAGCCAATCCTCGAAATCCATCCAGAAGCTGCCCTCCGTTTGGAAATCCACGTTCAACGCTTCAGCGATCTTGGGATTGGCCTTCCATTCGGAGCTGCGGTCACTCCAAGGTCCGTTCCATTCGGATTCATTGCCCCATGGATTTCGGCAGCAAACCAACCTGAGGCCATCTATCTCGACTGCGTGCAGAACGCTGTAGGCATGACCATGGACCATCCCAGAATCTCTTTCAATTCGGGACTTTGAAGCTGAAGATGCCATTAGGTAATTTCCTTTGTCATAGTCCATGAGCCGTTGCCACATTTCCTCCACCTCCACATACTGCTTGAACTTGTAATTGAAGGCTTTGCTGACCGCTGTCTTGTCCCCTCCAGAGCAAATGGCTCCCATCGCCTGGTTCTGTCTGCGCTGTTTGGCTCCCAAAAAGACGCTTGAGTTTGTCGTCAAACGGTCAACACACTCGGAAGGTGCCCAAAACAGTCTGGAGCGACCATGAACAATGTATACTCAAGCGAGCGGGGCAGGATGTGTATTCACTTAGCCCAGCTGCACTAAGTACGCACTGCACACAGCCTGACTGCCTCAACAAGGTGAGGCGCACGACTGAGGCCGGTGACCCCGACACCAACCAGAACGAAAGATGTCGCAGTGGGCCGCGAGAAAAACTTTTTTCCCACAGTAGGTACGCGACAGCATGGCGCAATATCCAGACTCTTTTTATTTTAATGTTTGGGGGACTCGCCTTTCGACGTTTGGATCTTGCGAATCTGTATGCCTCACCCAGCAGTAAATCCAGACAATTGGAGCAAGCGGTGCAAATGGCCAATGAATTTGGTATCGCAAAGGGACAAGCGCACGCCGCTGACTCGCCACTTTGTACAAAGGATCCGTCATAGTTGCAGCTGCACGGGGCTATTTGACGAAAGCATCTTGTATAACATAATGTGAGTCATCAATGGCAGTAAACCCGAGGGTGTGGCAGCCAAAGAACGCCATGTCAGGAAACGACAAACGACGTTTCTAGAAACCAGTAAGATCGAGGCAGGCACCAGGATGGGGAATCAGAAACGGGCCAAGCTGAGAAACAAGCTGGTCTACCAGACCTTGGTCACGAGCGGCCGATACAGGTGTCAACTAGGAATCTGCGGGTTTGTCTCAGGGCCTCTTTTATCACAAAAGCACAACTCTAGGGGTGGGAGGAATAGAGGCAAGTCAACCGTCCGTTCAATCAGAGAAAATCGCCATGTAGTCTTCCAACTGCAGTTTGGTGGCCTCGTCATGGGTTGGCCACAACAGTTTTTGGCTTTGCAATGCCGGAGAGACGCCAATAAATTTTCCGCGCGTGATTCTTACAAACGCTGATAGAAACCTGTCGGAATTCTATGATGTTGAGCTGTAGAGCGTCATTTTTGCAAGTGCGGGATCAGGTTCCAGTGAACGTTAACATCCCCATCCCACACCACACACCACACACCACACACCATGGAGCACCGTGACAAGCAAAATGAAGATGCTTACCGCGGCGTAATACACACACTGTGGTCCAACTACTCTCATCATGAGCCTACGGAGGGACAAAAGTTGAAACCAATTTGCAAATTGTATATTTAAAGAACGTTAAAAAATGATGCATCCCTCTAAATGTGCAGCCTTTCGCTTCGCTTCCCTTCGTGCCTGTTCGGGCACCACGGCAGCATCAATGACAATGATGCGTAGCTCATTCGCGGCGGTCCGCTTGGCCAGCCGCCGGCCATTCCCGTAGTATCGCATCCATCCAGATGCAGCTCCTTCGCCCTCGAGCTTCTCAAATTCCATCCAAGATCCAATCCTCACTGCACACTTGCACCCGTTGTTCAAGCATTCGGTTGCGTTCTGCCGCATCAATCCGATCTACATGTATAGTTTAAAACACATGCACAAAACCGATGCAAACCTGTGCTCCATGTGCACATCTCCCATGTTTGTCAGAATTTGGTCCTCTGCTTCTCCAAGAATTGCGCGCCTTCTCCAAGTTGGCCTATACGCTTCTTGGCTTTGTCTTTGGAATGTCCCGCAAACACCGGAATTCCGCCACTTTCAGTGACCACCCACTTCGGTGCCGATCCACGGTAAGATGCGCTGTAACACATGAATTCTGTGCAGCTGGTCATGTGGAACCAAGCTACGGCTTGAAAGCCACCTGTGAGGTCAGACCAGCTGCCGTACATCTTGGCGAAAGCTTTTTCAAGTAGCGCCATACACATCTTTCCATCTTTGATTGTTCCAAAGAGTAGGTCTGGTTCGTCTCCACCCCAAGGCGTGCATGGCAAGTAGTCATCAATTTCTATGATTTCCCAGCGTTTGGTACGGCCATCATAGAGCTTCACTTGGTACTTGCCGTCCCTGGAAACCTTGCAGGGTTGTCATGGATGTCATCCTGTCACGTCTCTTACTAAAACAAGTTGCTGATCGCCTGTTAAAGCCTTGTGGAAATCTGTCTTCTCACCGCCCCAAGCGACCTTCTTGGTCACAAAGAGATTGTTCTTGATGTAGGATGGGAATTCCGCCAAGGCGGACATCGCCGCTATCAGCCAACAGTTGCCAACAGTGCCTTGGCATGCATCCGCAGGCTCTACATCTGCAAAGAGAGCAGGATGAGGATGTAGAGCCATGGATCTAAGCCATCGACTGTACTTGCATTTGCTAGCCGCCTTTTCACCAACCGAGTCATTGTTGTGGGGGAAGGCCGGATCTTTCCATCCATCTTTGATCCGTTTTTGGATTTTCAAACCACCGTGCATGCCATTGGGGACTCCATCTGTGTCCACTGCCAGCACGGCAATCTTCCCACCACGAGCCTCGTCCATCCAAAGGGCCAAATCTGGAGAATACACATCGGTTGTTCGTGAGGTGTACAAGGAGGGCCTCCCGAAGACCGCTGAGTTTCCAATCTTCCACATACTCTTTGGTCCTTCATAGAAGAGGAAACGCTCAGCCCAGTCATCGCCTTTCCATTGTTTGTAAACGGGTCGGTTGCCCAAAGTCTGGTCGGTCTTCTTGAAGAAAATCTCATCAAACTTGATTGCATCGGCAGCTTTGGCGAACTCTTCTTCTGCTGTCATACTCGGCTCTGCGGTACATTTCATACGAGACTCTTTGATGAAGCTCTTCTTGTGACCTGAGGTGGCTTACTCTGATCCCCTCAGTTTGTGCCTTTATCAATTGACATGTTGTGCGATGATATGCAACTCGCACAAAAAACTGCACTCGAAATAAAGTTGCCAAGAGGCTCTTTGTGCTGGTTTTCCAAACAGCCCAGGTTACTCCGTCACCCGGCATGTGAGCTGCCCGAAAGGTTTTCAATCGAGCAGAAGCGGTAGTTCCTGTGCTTGAGAAGATCTGCCACTGCTGCCTGAGTTCAACACATGTCGCCCCATGGAAACAGTCGTTTCCAACTGTCACTTCTCTTTTCGCGTTTGGTGGCATTGAAATGAGAAATGCTGGCTGCAGCTGGGTGCCTCTTGCCATGGTAGAACAGGTAGCGCTCATTCTCAAGACAATGGAATATTGGCCTGCGGTAGTAGAACTCCTTCTGTTGCACATAGTCACCGTTCAGCTCCGGTCTTGAACAGCCTGAAACTCGCAACTTGAACTTTCCTGTCGTACCGGAGGAGATGGTCTGTTCTTCAGCAAAGACCCATTTCACGAACTCCTGAAGAAGCAAGTGGCAACGGATGACATAAACACATAAGAATGTCGGCACCCCCTGGCAATGTTCCCCCCACGGATTAGTGACTACTGTCATCTGCTCTCATTGAAACGATTCTAAGGCATGCCAGGCATGTGGCATGTGTACTTTCTGCTGTCCTCAACCTGCAACTGCCCGTCACCACTGGAATCAGCAGCTGCCAGCAACTCATCAATGGAGTCATCATCCCATTCGGAGCTTTTCAGTTCCTTCAACACCTGAAGACTCCACTTTGAAAGATCCTAGTAGTAACAGGTGCCACGCTAGTAGTAACAAGTGCCTTACTAGTAGTAACAAAAAAGCTATTAGAAACAATAAGCTAATAGCTTCTTTGCTCCTGGTAGTAAGGCCAGGAGCCCCAAGTAGCGTCCTTGCTCCTAGTAGCGATGCCAGGAGCCCCTAATAGCGGCCTTGCTCCTATAAGCGATGCTCCCCTAAGTTGAAAACAAACTTCCATATCTTTCCGATGAAAAGCATTCCGGGCAAAAACGCCAAACTGAGCTACTCAAAGGGGAGAATATGGTGAAAGTGCAGCTTCGCTTTTTCTGATCCGCTTGTCACGACGATGTTCTTGGCTTTCAGCTTTCAGGTTCCTTCCACTCCTACCACCGCCACCGCAGCTCTCGCCCCTGGCCTGACCGAGCTCTTCTCGTGTGATTGATCCCGACCCGTCTTTGTCAAAGCGCTTAAAAGCCTTCAGCACTGTTTGATCAGCCATTGCAGATCCTGCTTAGCCGCTTTGGGCGTTGCTTTAAAGCAGCTTCTTGCTGCCTTTTCGGGTCAAATGGCAAAGTGCTCACAACTTCCAACACGAAGGATGATGTCGGCTGCTCGTCTGATGTCTCATGGTCATCTCGACACGTGTCTTGCTCCTAGTAGCTTCTTTGCTCCTGGTAGTAAGGCCAGGAGCCCTAGTAGCGTCCTTGCTCCTAGTAGCGATGCCAGGAGCCCCTAATAGCTTCCTTGCTCCTATAAGCGATGTTGTGCGTTCTGCTAGATCTCTGCAAAAGTCACTGCTATCAGGGCCTCTGGCAGTGGATGGCAAAGGAAATGTGCGAGACGAACAGATTCTCACAGCGCTTGCAAGCCTGCATTGCTTGCAGCGCAAGTTGGACACACCGGTTTGACTGTTGCAGCCCTGAATGCAAAAAGGAATGCAGTGCACAGGCAATGAGTCTATGATGTACAAGCAGAGGTACAAGTGCACGCCAGCTGAGGAACAGACTTAGGGTCGATGCATATTGGATTTCCTCTTTTCTCCAAGCATTTGAACAGCCGAAACTCGTTTCAGTTCAGTTCCCCGTTCTTCTTGTCTCGGTCCACTTTGCAGACCGGTCAAAACACATCGAACGACTCGGAATGCCTTCTGGAAGATGTAAAAGCAAGTTCCATTCTGCAAAATGGTACAATCTCTCGCTGACAGCCTGCGGTGTCAGTTGCACAAATGAGCACACCATGACTAAGATTGCCCAGAGCTTCCTGCCAGTCAGCCTAAAATGACAGGCGTTTGAAGGCTTGTTCCACTGAAAATGACAGGTGTCTAAGTTCTTCCCTGTTTGCTCTCTCTGTTCTTCGCTTGCCTGAATGCCTTCATTCCATACTCACTCTCCAATCCCTTTCGCTGGGACTCTTCCACTGCCTCGACATAAAAGAGTGGGTGAAATTGTTGGTTCAGAGTCAAAACCACTTGCAGCAACTATTTGAGCTCTTGCTTTTTCTCTTGGCTTGGCTTTGTCTTTGTATGTTCTCTCATGTGTTTAACTCCTGCTGTCCTTTTTCACATCAGCACGCGCCACTGTTATGGAGGTCTTAGCCTGTGAAGCGCTCCGATGACTTTTGGCAAGACAAGAGATACAAAGCCCAAGCAAAACCACAAAACACAAGTTCACTCTTGAGAACCACAAGCAGTATCAACCATTTACCAACGTGCATTGAACGGTTGAACAGTGACACCGCCTCATCAGGCGGTTGAAGAGGTGGTGAGCAGCAAACTTCTGGAAGCATCCTGGATGTTTGAGAATGTCTCAAAAAAGTCTGATGACAAAGAATCTATACAAGGAGAAACAAAACTATACAATCATATATAATCCACAAAGATTTCAGTAAGATTAATATAAAAGCAATAAACTTATGAGTTTACCCTGAGGCAACTTCTCATTGGAGGAAAATGCACGTCAGGTTTACCAAAATGCACGTTGGAAAATGCATGTTGAAATGGTGCTTTGATCTAGTGTGTATGTGTAGGCGCAGGTGCTAGAGGGTGTCTTACCATGACTTAGCGTCAGGAGATTCCTGCTCCTGATTGCTTTGGGCGGTGTGGTGTTGGGCAGGTGAGGGCAATAGCTAGCTAGCCAGCTAGCTAAGCCGGCCGTAGCCATAGCCGATAGCCGCTCCTGTTTCAAACTCACTTGCATTCTGGACTTATGGACCAGCACCAAGTGGTTTCAAAAATATATATAAATAAATACATAAAACATGCATGTTTTCTTGAAAATCAAACTCCAGTTGCTTGAAAAAAAACAAACAAACATTTTGCAGTGTGAAATACATATTGGTTTTCAAAAAACGCCCAGCAAAAAACATGCATTTTACACTGTATAATGCATGCAAATGCATGTGTTTGTTGAACGTGGTTTTTCATGCCCGTGCCCCAAAAAAATGCGCGTTGGTTTGGGGCAGGGTCTGGGGTGAGTGGTCCTGGTGTAGTCTAGTCTAGAGTCTAGGTCCTGTCCTGGTGGCTGGCGTCTGGTGAGTTCTTGGTTTTGGTCCTGGTGGAGTGGATGACGGGTTCGGATCAGGCTATGGTACCTGGTAGGTAAGTGTTTTTGGTCTGTGTCTTGTCTGGTGTCTATTTTTTGGGGCAAACCAAACGCGTTTGGTTCATGTTTCATGATGTCATTGAGCCTGTGGACATTCTCGATGACACACTGTTAAAAAAAGAATAAACGGCCTTAAATATTTAAAACATGCATTTGTTAGATGCAAAAAACATGCATGTTGTTAATTTATCTTGGGAAGGCTAGGTTGCCTTAGGTAAACTCGTAACAATGAACAATGATATCGTCGGACAATTGCTCAGGTCGGGACTGGCAATGGACCTTTCCCCAAAAGCGCTCCAGCGGTGCAGGCGTGAGCCAATTTGCAAGCCGAGACCTGCAAATGCTGCAACCCCCCCAAAGCAACCTAGGACCCAATCGAATGGATTTTGAAAGACCCATATATATATATATATGCCAAGTGAAAAACACATGCGAAGAAAGCGAAATACATACTGTGATACAATGAAGGAACTCTAAAAAACTCAAAAAAAGAAGATCTGAATAGACACCTCGAAACAAAGCTGACATCTTTGACCTACTCCGACTGACTCCCGCACACTGCACGCCAGGCAGATGCCACAAGGCCGTCTGAGCCCTCTGAGGCGCTGGAGGGTGGAGACCATCTCTGGATCTCTTCCTAAACAAAAACGTGTTCAAAATATCAAAAGCTTTCTTTTCTGTTCTTTCTTCTCTCCCTTCTTTTCTGCCTTTCATCAAAACGTCCAATGACTTGGGCATCTTAAGATGAAGAGACTTAGTGCAAAGAACGGAAGACGACTTCAGAAATGAAGGAAAGGTCCAAGAAGGACGGAAAGGGGAGGGCAAAAATGCTGAACGTCTCCAACTCGAGCAACGCACGCCTCGTCAGTAGTCTCGCCAAGGTCGGTGTCGGAAGTGTAGGCCTGGATACAAACATGGCACTGCTGCCTCATGACCCGCTTGGGGTCGGGTTTGTGCATTTGTGGATTCCTTCAGCCTTTATGACCGAAATAAGATCCTAATTATGCTCCTAATCATGTGCTTTCCTTCGGTACTTGCAAACATAATTCCTTCTGTCGTTTTTCTTCTTTGCGCTCCTCTTGCATCAGCCGCGATGCTGCCACGACGGATGCCGGGTGCAGCAACGGTGCCAACTGCGTCTCCGACGAAGGCTTGAGCACGGGCCGCGCCGACGCCAGCTGCGGAGGTCGCACCTGACGTTAGCATGATGGAAACAGAAAATGAAAGGAAATGAAAAACCTCTGTGGTTTTATTTCTGATGTCATTTTGCTTTTTGTAGCTCGTCCTGCCTGAAATTGCACCAAAAAGCAACAGCTGAACAAATCTCAACAGTTTTTTTCAGCGTCTCACATAGGCAAGCCTTCCGGGGCAATGCTGGTTGGTGCAGCGTCTGCTGCTCCTGCACTGCACTTCGGCGACAATTCCTCTGCTCCCTTCGGAATGTAAACATACAGGTGCATTTGCTGTGGGATGTCGAAGGAATCGAGAGAAACAAACAGGGAAAGGGAGCTGGCCATGCCAACAAACGAGCAAGTTACGAGGAAAAAAGTGATTTGAGGGGCTACTGCAGCAGTAGGTGGAAAGCAACATTGGAACTTTGGCATGCGAACTCAAACAACAACATCAAGTACCGAGTCTATATGCCCACTCACGAAGGTAAAAACCTTGCACCACTCACCAAAGCATCATGCGCATCTCCTCCTCTCATCCTTGAGCGGTTTGCCCTAAGCTCCACTGGGTGCCAAGAAAGAGTGAAGTCAGAATACCTTCTCACACTCTCCACATCTCGGATTTCTCACACTAGTTCATTTTGGGAACAACGCTAGTAGTAACAGGTGCCTTACTAGTAGTAACAAGAAGCTATTAGGAACAAGTGCCACGCTAGTAGTAACAGGTGCATTTCGGGAGAATCCGAAAACCTCTACGTACCGCGTCCCATGCGTCACGCACGGTTCTTGGCACCTGCTTCCGCGCTTGACGATGGGCGCTTTGTGGCCTTGGAAGCTGCGGTACTGCCGGTGGCTCTGGTGGCTCCTCGCAGGCGCGCTTCAGCCGCTCCTGCACCGATTCAAGCCGATGAACGACAAAGGACTGTAAGAAGTCTTCTAATAGCTTCTTGTTACTACTAGTAAGGCACCTGTTACTACTAGCGTGGCACTTGTTTCTACTAGCTTTTGATTCTAATGTCAATTCGTGAAGTATGTTTACATAAGTTTCTATGATTTTAAATCCGCTTGATCTTACGAATCTTCCCGTCACAAAAAGTGTTGTGGTTTTCCAAAGAAAACCGTGCCTTTGGCCGTGCAGCCATTTCTCGTCATGGCATGGCGTACTTTGGGCTCAAGGCATTGGTGGCTGATCGCAGTAGTTTTGTGACATCAACTGTGCTATCAGGCTATCAGTGCAAAAAGCTTTGCGTAAGAATGCACCTTGGCAATACATGGAGATACAAAGATCCACATCTAGTGCAACTAGCAAATGCATGCACTCATTGTTTCTACTGGTAGGATTTGTCTGCCAACCTGTTGAAGTGGTGTATGACATACAGCAAAATTGGTTTGGAGGTTGGTATAAGTCTGTTGTATTGTATACATTACCGTGGCACATGTTTGGATCAAGAGTTGACTCAGTTGACCTCGAGACTCAGGTTCACAAATCACCTGCAGGTTTATTCTCTGTCTTGTCCGATATGTCTTATCGTGTTTCTTTGGACCTTAAGACATCTTAAGACCCTTCTTGTTTCTTCTTGTTTCTTCTTCCTCCTCCTCTTCTTCTTCCTTCTTCTTCTTCTCTGTATTATATATGCTTTATTCTGTATTTTATATTAGTTCGTCTTTCTTCTCCGCTTTCATCTTTATTATTTATGCCTCTTTCTTTCTTATGTCTTCGTTATTCTTTCTTCTTCTTTCTTCTTATTCTTCTTATTCTTCCTTTCTGCCTTTTCTTTAAACATGATGAAATCTGGGAACCCGTCTTTGACTTCACACGCTTGACATCTCTTGCCAAAGCCTGCGATACCGGAATATGAAGTCAGCAATTCCGATGCAGGTCATAGAACTATGAAGTCTCTCCTGAAGTCGTGTCCTGCCTTCGTTGCTCTTGTCACGTCGTGGCCATCTCCGTCTCCCTCTCAGATTGGGTTGCACCTTCTTCAACTTCTCATTCTCGGCCTGGTATCGGATGATTTCACGACAATCGCAAAGGTCCTTTCACTCAAAAGATCCAAGCATGTGTTTCCAAGCTGGAATTCACACTTTGCAAAAACGAGTGATGATGACCAAACGACGTGGAAGGTGCTAAGTTGATGGGGCTCTCTAGGTTTTGAGAAGTCTAAGCGAGCCTGTTCATCAGGAATGCACCACAGCAATGCATAGATCGCGCTCGAGAGCAACTCTGCTCCCCATTAAGCGAGCAAAGACAAAAGCAGCAGTCATCGCTACTAGTAACAGTAGCTTCTTGTTACGGCCTCCAACCCTGAAAAGTAATTTGTCCAACCACCAGTGTCCCTTGAACTCATGATCCTTTCCTGCCTTCAGAAATATTGCTTGCATGTATGGTTTCCAGCAAGTGTCTGACCCGCCTTGAGGACACTCAGCCAAGCACAAGGCCAGAGTGAAACACTGTCTTATCTCAAGGTCACCACACGCAAGAATGGCTGCATCGGAACGGTTGAGTCTACAGCGTCTTTTTGCTTGCATCGCCTCTGGAAACTTGTGAGTGGGCCCTTTGGACACCAACCTTCTCTGCCAAGGATTCGAAGTTGTGCAGAGGGGTGAGGCGGTTTCTTGGTGAGCTAAATGGTGATCACCTTGGCAGCTTTGGAGACTCTCGGTCGCTAGCAGGGCGTCCCAGAGCAGATCGGAACGTATCGTTCCAGGAATCGCACACAACAGGGTCGTGATCCCTGGAGAATCCAAACGGAGCAACAGAAAGTTTCATGAAAGGCTGGGCCAAGCATTTGGCCCAGCTTATCTGCTCTGACGGTGCAAAAGTCTCGCTTCACAGCCGCACCGCCGAAGCCCAGCTTCACAAAATGGGCGCTCGTTGTATAACTATAAGCATATATGGTATATGATGTATATGGGAATGTAGAACTCCGGCTGAGCTCTGCTTTTTGGGGCATCTGTTTCTGTTTTGGATATTTACTTTTCCACGTCAAGCGCAAGTCCTACCAGGTCCCATTTGAATCAGCTCTGGCATGGAGCGGACAAGAACAAACAGGGTAGTAGCTAAGTAGCTCAAAGTCTTTGCGCGAGTCGAGAAGCATCTTTCCGGGCCAACGGCTATCAGCTGAGCTGTGGCGATTGTGAAACGCACAGAGGTGGGTGTTCCTTGGGTCTCACGCTGCAGGGCGCTGGCGAGTTAGTATCACTTGTCTACTCTTCGGCTGGAAACCATCGTTTCTTTTTTTTCGGCTTAAAAGAATCGCATCGGCTTTGAAGCCAAAAATGCTTGGAGTGAAAGTTCCTGCCCTGCCCAGAAACACTCACAGAATGAGCACGTGGCTTCACAGCATACTCCTCGCATCTTCGTGCACAGTTCGTTGAACCTCCCTGAGTCTCTTGTCCCTGCATGTGCAAGGATCAAGGCCCAGATTTGATGTGGTCTGCTAGACAGGTAAAGTGGACTGATCAAGCACTTGTTACTAGTAGCTTCTTGCTACTAGTAGTATTGCCAAGAGCTACTAGTAGCTTCTTGTTACTAATAGTATGGTGCCTTGTTACTAGTAGCTCTGTCCAAGATAAAGCTGGTCCCCAAAGCAGGAGTCAGAATGAACTGGTTGACTCATCGATCTAGAATCTAGATGCACATGTTGTGGAGTTGAAGCGCATAGTGCATGCTATATGCACTGTTCTGAGCCTGGGAGGGTTCAACGCCGGACCTAATTCTCAACGGCTCCTGCGGCACACTTGAAGAGTGACTGTTTGCATTGTGAATGCAGCAATTATATAAAGAAGAACTCTTCCGAAGCGGTTGCAGTGCATCCGGAACGTCCTCACATCACTGCGCAGTTGCAGTGGCCTTAAGTGCCAATGGTTCAACATAGCCAGCTGAGTAAATTTCATGAACCTGGTACAAGCGGAGCAAACACAAGACGCAATGACCTTGCGGTTGGCAACTATGGGAAGCTGCCAGAGCTCTAGAAACTAAGGACGCCACCAATTGGACCCGGTTTGGTCATACGCTTGTAAGACTGCACAGGGGCTTTCATCCCAAATGATGATTGAAATTCTGCAATGACAGCACTGGCCTGAATAAACTTCAGCTGCCTTGCATTGATAGCTCCTTTTTGACTTTCACGAATTTTCTCGACCTGAAAATTCTGAAGTCCACCCAGGCCAAGCAGGGTAAACAGCTTGCGATCCAGAAACAAAACTTCATATACCCCACTTCTGACAGCATTAGAACTTCTGAACACTGAATCAGACTTATGCTGATCTGAGCAGTGAGGACCGGGCCGCATCCATGGGTTCGAGCGCAGTCATCTCAATCAAAGCGACTGCTGCCATGATCGGTGCCTAGTCCCAGCAAATCCAAGTCGTTCGGAACCAATTAAACGATGATTGCGAGCGTATTCTTAGGTTGGAGGCCATCGCTAGTAGGATGGAGGTCATCGCTATTAGGTTGGAGGAACCAAAGAGCTTTTTTAAGACCTAATTTCTTTGACTCTTGGTCGAAGCCGTCAGAGCCGTCAAACGAAAACTCTGGGCTTCCAGACCCTGCCGAGACCGGCCACACAGTGGACGGCCACAACGCCAGTATCAGCCTTGGGAAGTCCACATGGAACTGATCGGAATCATTGGTTACGTGCTTTGTATAAAAGGTCGCTCTGCCCCCAACTTAATTAAGTAGGCGCCTACTTCATGAAGTAAGAGCTAGGTTAGCTCCTAGTAAACGGGCGCAGGATAGCTCACGCTTCTATTCATTTGGTTCCTAGATTTTAGAAGACAACAAGCACTTATGACGCCTGTTCAAACATCGAAGACTAAACCTGTTCAAGTCACTTTTTGTGCCAAGTATTTTTCATATGAAAAGAAGGGTTTCATCTCGTTTCACCATGCTTCACCTAACACGCAAGAACTGTCTGTGTTCCCGGCCGGGTCCTTTGGCCGGTATCTTTGGCAGATAAGACCTCAGAAAAGAACAAGCCAAGGACCAAAAAAATCATGGTTTTGATTGTTGTCATTGGTTTCTTATATGTTCTTCTTGTCTACTCGCTTCTTTTTGCCTTCACTCAAACAGAAGCTGCGTGGCTCTTGCACCGAAACAAGCAAGTCAGAGCAATGCTGTCAGGTGACCGTTCCATTTGAGAATCAGATCCTGCCGCTTTGGAAGAAATGAATAAATGGAGAATGACAACCTGCTAGTAACGAGTGCATCGCTACTAAGAAAAGTATCGTTTTGTTCTTTTTCGTTACTTGTTTCTACTTTCACCAACGAGAGGTGACATGTGCATCCTCTGGAGGAGCAGCGCCATCCGGAAATGTCATTTCATGGACCTGACAGATTCGCATCCGATTCTTTGGTGTCTTGTTCGCTACGAACGGGGCAAAGGGCATCGCCACTAGGAGCAAGAACGCTACTAGGGGCTCCTGGCCTTACTACTAGGAACAAGAACGCTACTAGGAGCAAAGTGCATCGATTGACATGATGTCAGTGCGTTGCTCCTCTGGCAACAGCCAAGTATATACGTACGGAATGGATTTCATCCTGATGTGCCAAAGGAGGAAGACAATGAGATGGAGGTGTTCTCCATGTATTATTATCCTTCAACGGAGTGTAAAGTATATAGAAATCACAAACCTCAAGGGCAAAAAGGGCATGTCCTGACATGATTCCAGCGAAACCCTGCCTGAATGCCCTCTTTCTCAAAAAGCTCGGGTGAATACGTTGGCTCACAAGTTCGTACCTGCCCGTAGAGAGATTCCAGAAAGAGTAAGGCCAGGACGCTACTAGGGGCTGCTGGCCTTACTGCTAGGAGCAAGGACGCTACTAGGGGCTCCTGGCCTTACTACTAGGAACAAGAAGCTACTAGGGGCTCCTGGCATCGCTACTAGGAGAAAGGACGCTACAAGGGGCTCCTTGGCAAAAGAGACTTCCAGCTCCAATTTCGCATAGGCGAGTCTGTCAGCGCACAACATCAGTCACTCCACACGCTTTGAGCTCTTTCACATACCTAAGAGCAAGCCAAGGACCATTCTGTGAGAGTTTGCATCGCTCTTCTTTGCGTGCTTGAGACATCTTGACAGACTCACTTCTAAGAGGCAAGCAAGTGGGAATTCTCATCGCATGGAGCATCCATGATGACGATCTTGAATTTGCCTCCAAGGAGATGGACTGAACCTTCCATCCCTGTTGCAAACAATGTCAGCCGCTCACACACGGATAGTCGGTCAAGCTCAAACAAAGTCTCCAAATCAGGAAGAACTGATCTGGACCGTGTTCGAGCTCAATGAGTTCACAAAAGTTGGTCAATCAAGGTCACATTGCTACCCATGGGCCCCATGGGCCCTGGCCGTACTCAACCAGGCGCGTCTTGATCTCCTCTGACACCACCATCCTGGCCTTGGTCCGTCCGCGAAATTGTCATCACAAAGGTTTCGCGGTCCCATCAGGCCCCTGCGGACCCATTTAGCCACGACTTACACGCCGACGGAGCTGCTCCAAAAAACCGGATACGGGAAGCAGCAGGCCGTACATAAGAAGCTAGGTTGGAGGCCATCGCTATTAGGTTGGAGGCCATTACTACTAGTAACAAGAAGCTACGAACGTAGCTCCTTGCATACCGGGTACATCCAATGGTTCCTTGGAGGCTCTTCAGCGACAGAGCGGAGCGACAGGCTCATTAACAGAGGTGCTTCTGCTTCCTGCTTCCAGAGCTTCCAGAAGGAAAAAAATGAAAAGGGGAAGGGAAAAGGGCCTTTGTTCATCTCATTCTTCTTGTGTCCCTTTTTCATTTAAGTTCTTTCGTTTCAGTGTTTCTCCTTTTCCTCCTTTCAGCTTCCTTTGAGCTGTCGAACGGCTTTCTGTCTGTCCAAGATTCCGGGCCCATTGAAGCCCCCGGGCTCTCTCTTGTGACGTTCAGCCTTTGCGAAACACTGCTTTCATTCGGCTTCAGAACATCAGAAAAGCAGCAACGCGTCATTGGCAACAAGTAAACATGACTTCATTGGGATGAATGACTTAGCACAGCACAGCCTAAGGCCTGGCGCTACCAGCAGCCAGCCTGTCAGGGAGCTCCAATGCTGCGACTTTGATCTTCCAAACGCGAGCGAACTGCTAGCAAGCTGTCAACCTGTTGGTCAACAAATGGCCTGTTGGCTCTGGCCGCAATGGGGCACTCACCTCGCAGATTTGGTGAAACACAAAGGAATCAAACAAATCATGTTTAAAGAACGGGTGGATCCTTCTAGATCCTGCAGGTGCTTCGGTACAAGACTCCGAGGCAAGGGTAGAAGAACCTACATGGTACAACCACCTGACACTCCTGACCTTCACATATTTCATCTCAAAAGGAATCCAATCCACAGGAAAACCATTCGAGTAGTGGCATGTGACAGAAAAGACGCCAATCGTCGTGCCTCGGCCCAGGCCATCGCCCTTCAAGATTGAGCCGAAAGCGAGCAGCGGAGCGTCAAGCCCGACCGGTGAAGCCCGACCGATGTGAGTTCTTCTGTGAAGCCCGACGTCTGTTGAGCAAACTCAAATCTGTGTGCTGCTTTTGGCCACGAGCTGAGCAAACCCAATGCCCCAGAGGTCTGACACTTGCACGCTTTCTTCCCACGGGGAAGAGCAAGAAAGGACTCTATCTTCCAAAAAGGTGCAACAGCACACAAACAATCACGCAGGTGTGCTATTGACCAGCTGGGGCAATTTCGAACGCATTTCACGAATAGAGTTAGAGACTCAGCTGGAAACCAAGCTCAGCCTCAACGCCAACCTGACCAACGAAGAGCAAAAGCTGAGTCTACAGCTCTTGGTACCAATCAATGAAGACTGCAAGCAGCTTCTTAAGACCACTTGAACCCCTGCAAACAAAGGCATTGCTGTGAGTCTTCAAAGCACTTCTCAACAATTTAATGTCCCAAAGCATTGCATCTCTTCAAAGCATGCATGTTGCATGAATCCTTGCCCAAATCTCCGGCCCAGCCTTCGTGGGAACTTGAAAAAGATAGGAACGAACGTATCGAGCTCGTTGAATCTTTGCAGCACCAACAGCTACGCTTTGCAAAGTTTCGGGAGGTCTGCTACTTTGCAAGCACCTCTCTGGCATTTGCAACTTCGACTACTACTGCTGGGCCTTCTTAATCCGCTTCTTATGGAGTGCTGTTCTAAGCCTGAAGAAAGCCCGCAGCTTTTCTGAGAGCTACAACGCTTAAAGCCTGGTACGTTGCCTTCAGAAAAGTTCCACGTGTCTGAACAATGTGCGGGTCACCAAACCAGGCTTTGTTTGAATAATTTGCAAGTGCATCAAGTGCATTGGCTTTCAAGGCTCTTGAGGCGGATGGAACCGGGAATGACAGAAGACACCTCCAAAGAAATTGTCTAAAGCCCATGAAGCAAATGCGGAATGCTGGTGTGCTTTATACCAAATATATAGTAGATAGTGTCAGATAGGGTGTGTGGTCAGATAGGGTGTGTAGAAATGGGAATCGAGTGAAGGCGATTTGATCAGCAAAAATCTTTTCTTTCAACTTGAAAACTCTGATCTCTTGGGATGACTTGTGAGGACGACATTCAATGCAACATGGATGAGTTTAGAACTGAGCTAAATCGAAAAGGTTGACTATTGGATCCATGGACAGGTAAAGGAACAAACACATCGATTAGCGCTTAAATTGCTTGATCTATCACAAAAATAGCTCCGGTATGCAAAGCTTGACGGAGTGCGGAAACCAAGCACTTTGATGACAAAGAACTGAGGCAGGGAAGGCTGCTCACTCACGGTATGCTCAACTTGAGACTCAAAAAGGAAAGGTTCACAAAGTTTAGCGAGTGGGTTAGAGACTATTGCTCTTGGGTTGGAGGCCATCGCTAGTAGGTTGCAGGCGGTTGGAGGCCATCGCAAGTCGATTGGAGGCCATCGAAGTAGCACCAACTTGCATCGGGCCTGTTTGCATGTGCGAGGATCTGTTAGAGTCAATCTCATGTAGCTAATGACGTCCTTGAAGATTCTTGCTCTTGACTTTGAGGGGATCTGCCGCAGAGCCACAAACCACTCATCTGCTACCGCATCTAATTCATCAGCACATCATGAATTAAACCAAAGGTGTGCAAATGACAAGCTCACCTTGGATCCTTCATGTTTAAGCTCTTGATGAAGTTGCATGTGCTGAACAAGGGACTGGGTATCAGTCCTGAGGCCTGCAAAGCCAGAGCTGAAAACCTTTAATCAACTCTTGGCTTGCAGTGCCGGGCCGATCTACGTTGAAACGGGAACAGCTTTGAAGATGAAGATCCAGTCGACCTGCAAAGCAACAAGGACATGCAAGACCGAAGTCCCCTCCATAGCACCTTCTTCCGTAGCCCTCCTTGCTTAATTATATAAGTATCTGCCTACTTAATTAAGTAAGGGAGTAAGCTCCTCGCAATAAGAAACTCCTAGCCAGGACGCAGGATAGTTCACGTTTCTTCAAGGAAGCTCCCTCGCCTCAGCCAGGGGGAGCTTCCTTGAAGAAGCGCTCGCACTAATGATTTGGCTCCTAGATTGTTAGGGAAACTTAGTTCCATGCCTTGTCCATGCAACACCAAAGGCTCTGCTTTCACAAAGGTTGCAAACATCTTCCCTTGCCCGAAGCCTCCGCCACGCTGTGGTCTTAAATTCGAGGACACGCCTTTCTCACAGCTTCCAGTCAGCAAATTAATGCAAAGTTGAAAACAGTTTAAAGAATCGGGTGCACGTTTAATTCAGGATATGTTCGTGTTTTTTTCGGGTGTTCTTCAAATCCTGGGGGCTCACAATTCGCTGCTCTTTACGGCAACCTAAAGAAAAGAACTGCGGACACAAGGTGGAGTGAGTGGCTGAGTTTAAAAGAGAAACAGTTTCCGCAGCCGAGCTGAGAAACAGCTGTCGTAGCAAGCAAAGTACATTCGTGGAAGAAGTAGTGCAAATTTCGCAATGGTGTCCAGTGCAGTGGGGCGCGGTCGACCTTAAAAAAACATGTGGTTTTCGTGACGCTGGAGAGAGGTTGGGGGAAGAGCGTGTGGTTGGATGCTTCTGTGCGCGGCTGCTTGTGTCATGCTTTTTCGTAGTGTTTGTTGGGCTGGCTCGCAACTCACTTGCGCACGCAAAACTCACCTCACTTGCGCAAGCGATGTCGGTGCACCCCCATGCACTTGATGGTGAAGAGGCCACGTCAAAAGAAGACTTGCGCGCAAAAGTTAACTCACTGGCGCACGCATGAACCCTTTGCCAACGCTGCGACTCACATGCGCACACAGGCATGTTGCTACTATCGAATGACACCTTTCCTCTTCTAAGAGTTACCCGCCGGTGGCTCACAAAAGGTCTGCTATGTTGGAATGGCACCTTCCTCGTCTAAATTTTCCGTCGGGTGCCTCACAAGAGGTCTGCTACCTTGGAATAACCCCTTTCTGCTCTAAATTTTAACCTCGGGTGGCTAGCAAACGGTCTGCTACCTTAGAATGGCTCCTCACTCTCACCTAAATGTTGGCTTTATTGCGTCTTGTAAGCACCACATGTAAGCAGTGCTGTACTTCAATGTTTTTCCCACAAACACCGCAAAACAACCATGACATACATATGCGCAAAGCGTATTGAAGCTTGTCTGTCTAATGTGTTTGTGCTGTTAAAGAATATATGAAAACGAGTGTGTGTGCAAGTTGTGCAGTCATGCAGACTGAACAGCAACAAATGCAGCACAGTAGACCAAACAGAAACAAAAATCAACAAAAGCAACCAGAGTCAGAGCAGAAAAGCAGCAAAGCAACCAAAGCAACAAAAAACGCACCGAGTCCAAAAAGAGAAAAGAAAGCACCAAAAAGCAAGGTAAACACCCAAACCACAAAAACAACAAAGCAAACAAGAAGAACAAAAATCAGTTAAAGCAAACGCAATGCAAAGGAAAAGCAGCAAAAGCAGAAAAGCAGTAAAAGCAAAAGCAATGCAAAAAAAGCAGCAAAAGCAGAAAAGTAGCAAAAGCAAAATCTGCTGAAAAATAAATGCCCCTCCAGAGCTATGTCCATGCTTTAAGTTCTTTTGTGTAAACAGCTATATAGATCATGCAATCTTCATGTGGGATTTACAGTTGTGCTCAAACTTTGTACAGTACATGCTCTATGTGTTCTGCACGTCAGTGAGCCATTTCCCGTACAGAGCAGGAGGCACTCATGCAGTGCCCCCTCGCACGAGTGCTCAAAGAAGACTAAACTCAATGAACCTGATATTCCTTAAGGATGCCTTGGCAATGTACCTACAAGCTGTTCCACAACGCTGCCTTGCATCCTGGATGGCAATTATCTAGTTGCGATGTGTCTCCACTCACCAAGGACCATGAAGGCAGGTTACCTACGAGTTTCTTGATGACAACATGTCCTTCCTCTCCCCGCGGTGTGTGTTTTAAGCATGTTGTGGATTGTGGACTGTATATCCTTTTATTGCCTCTTTGTCATCCCCCAAGAAGCAAGAGTCATCAGGCATCAGGTAAACCCCGTTCCTCCAAGTGAACGGCAGCCACGTAGGCCTGCATACGACCGGCCAGGAAGAAAGCAAACCTGTCTGAAACAAATTCCAAGAACAAAACACAATGTGTGAATCACCAACAAGTAACAAGGCACCTTACTACTAGTAGCAAGAAGCTACTAGTAGCAAGGCACCTTACTACTAGTAACAAGTGGGCCCAGTCTACCTCTGGGCTTGGCTCGGAAGCAGCCACAAGCGCACTGAGCATCTGGGGGGCTGAGGGATGGCACCTCCGCACTTCACTAAGTCTTGACGTCTTGAAAGCTTGCTCCGTTCGTAGCGTCCTTGTTCCTAGTAGTAAGGCACCTGTTACTACTAGTAAGGCACTTGTTACTACTAGCTTCTTGTTACTACTAGTAAGGCACTTGTTACTAGTAGCGATGCACTTGTTCCTAGTAGCGTCCCTTGTTACTAGTTGCAAGGCCAGGAGCCCCTAGTAGCGTCCTTGCTCCTAATAGCGATGCCCTTTGCTCCTAGTAGCTTCTTGCTCCTAGTAGTAAAGCCATCAAAAGGTCGTTGAGACACACAATAGCTTTGTGGCCTCTACTCTAAGACTAGCTGCATGCTTGCAATTTGCACCTTAGGGACTGCAAATACTCCACACGTGGAGCTCTATCAGAATGAGGCTCCTGAGATCGTCGCAGGGTAGAATCTTTGAAAGTATTGCCCTAGTCCACCAAAGCAATGCTTCAATCACCAAGTCGACGATTCTTGCGAGTTGTGTCAGCAAGGCTGTTTCTTTCCCTTCGAAGCTGTTTCCTCTCTGGCGGCTTTGCTGCATGAGTGTTGCCCAATCAATCAATACATTTTACCAGACCGAAAGGAACAAAGTCTAGAGTCTAATACTTATGATATCTACAGTCACTCTTTTTCTTGAGTGTTAGCATTAAAATCACTAGCATGGCACGGCCTGGCAGGGGCCCACCACTGGCAGAGCCCAGCGCGGCCTGCTACTGTAGTAAATGGTGTCCAGCCTACCCTGGAGCAACAGCAAAAGAAGCAGAAGACATCCTGCCTCAAACCTTGCCAGCGGAAGAGGCTGTTCTCCTGACCTAAGAAACACGCTAACTTCAGTTTTTACTGACACTGATTAGTATCCCAAATTGCATCAAAATGGTGCTATTTCTGGATTGGAAGATACATGAACAAATGAACAAAACCAGCAATCACTGCATAAAACAACTCCTGTCGACTCAGTGAGCAAGCTTCAGTTCGCGACATTGAGGCTGGCTGCACTCTGTTTGGCTCTGCTTCAGCAGCATGGTCCTCCCGCAGGAAAACTCTTCTGCCAATTTGTCCCCTTCCCCGGCCTTCCCCACTTAGCCCTGAAGGGAAGGTCCTGAAATCAATCGTCCCCAAAGGCCTGAGGGTTTTCACAGGTTGGAAGAAAATGAACAGCAAGGTGCAACCGAAGTGCGCAACACAAATTCGATGCGTTTGGTCACGGACTATCGTTTGCTGAACATTCATTGAAAAGTCTGGGGAAGTTGCTGGTGACCTTCAGATGCATCGTAGAAACGCAGCAGGCCTCACTGCGATCTGGAAAACAAGAGTAACAAAACTACTACTACTACTACTACTACTACTACTACTACTACTACCACTACTACCACTACT